GCCCGCGCAGTTACGGCCCGGATCAAACGCGGCCGCGCCGTTTTAACGCCGCTCTGTTACATGTAAATTGGCGAATTATATACGAAATTTACTAGACTAAACTGTACTACTGTAATAGTTTTCTATGAATAAAATCTGGTATTAGGATACCTTGTTTCTAAATTATATAATTCTAGATTTTCTTGGAAATAGAAATAGGTATAACATTGCCTTCGAGCTAATAATTGGTGGAGCTAATAATTTAAAGTAAGATTATCAGATTATGACTTATCATCATTATTTTCCCTTCCTCATCCTACTCCCGTAGGGCCATATTTTTGTTCTGCAGGTTAATCTTTCATCAGTCCGCACTCTTTTCTTGATCATGTCGCCTTTCACGCAATCTATCTCTTTCTACGTCTACCTCTACCGGTGTACGTACCATAACATGTGATATATTAATAGTAATATCGTTATAATGATAAGGTATATTCATTTCCTGTATAAAGTGTTGTGATGAACAGCAGAACATTAGCGCCAACCTTCACCCAGTCACACTGACTGCGCGACATAAATGCTACAAATTGCAGCTGATTATGTAGTGTTATATAACTTTGTATACAACTGGGATTCCTATCGTTACTGTAACATGACTAGCAAAATATTGTTTGATGCAAAAACGTATTTATTTATAGAAAAATGCTTATTTCAGCTGGACCTTGTAAACCATTACAATATGGAAGTGTTTAACTTACATATTTTATAGTTTTTTTAATATTAATTCAAATCAATTTGTAAAAATATCTATGAAATGTTTCTCGCTAACCGTGTTTTTGTGTGCCTGCGGTGAATAACTTATTGTAACTTAAGTTGTTAGCATAAAGTTCTGCTTGTGTTTGTGTGGGTCACCTACTGCTCCATATGTAACAGCGCTCGCATGGCGCTCGCCGCATCCGACAGTGATTTGCCGAGATGACGACATCGGATATATCGCCGCATACTAATACCGACCCCCGGCGTGCACCGTTACACACACAAAATATAAACGCTACAATGTCATGTCCTGTTACAACTTATTATTCAAACGAAATCGTATATCGAGAAATGAAATTGAATAAAAATTCAAGAAAGCTAATGTTCTTTTCTGCAACTTGAATGAAATCTGGAATGATTCAATTATACACTTTCTATGTAATTATCCTTTGATTTATTTATTGTCATTTACATCGACTTTCTTCAATTATACATTTAAAATTTTTTATGCAAATGAATGCAAAAGTGTTTAACGCTGCTATTAACCACATGCATTAACGAATGTTTAAATTAAATCTGATTTTAAAACTAAAATTAACTTTTACTAGCAAAGAAAAACATTAAGAATTAACATCTGTACATAAATCTATTTTGATGCTGTACAGCGAGATTATACAAATTGTTTCAGTGTGTCAAAGCTAAAATAACTATATGTTTTGTGGCGTTTAAGAGCGGGCGCACACCTTTGACTGAAAAATCGCACAACTGTTGTACGATTGTCAATTGTTTCGCAGTCAATTTAACTGTTTAGTTGCACCACAAATCTCGTGTGTGCACCTCCATATAAACTCATGGGAATCAAAGCGAGACTAAACAGTTGTGCTATAGTTTAGTTCCAAGTGTGCGCAGGCTTTAAACGATCATTGCTGTCAGACGTGAAGGAGCAGGGGAATTCTGAATATAGAATGCATCAGAAAAACCCTCGGGTTCTTCACTAGCACTTGTTTATTGAGATAGCGTCATGTGCTAGATGTCGCCGAAACTATTGACGGCAAAAGATTGATAATTAGGTAGTAAAATGCAATGTAATTGACTTTATAGTAGGCAATCTGTACTCTAGATTATTAACAAGATAGATTAGACAACCATAGTTGTAAACAATTTAAACAGGACGAAAAAGAATCCGTTACAAATAAAATATGATTACATTATTTGTCAGTCCTGCAGCATATTGTCTCTGAATGCAAAGAGAGCAGTAGATGCGGATAAGCCGGCAAGCACACGCCGGCGGCTTTAATTGGCTCACATTATTATTAGCGAGATACGGCGATAGACTGAGCGGCGGAACTGACGATGGTGAATGCTTTTATCGCCTCGTCTGCGTTCTTTAATACCAAATACTAGGTTTCAGGTATAAAGTAATAGTTCAAAAAGATCTGGAATTAATAGATTCAATGTGTACATTTTAAAAATTCTCTTGTAAGCAACCTAAATGCCAGGATAAGTAGATAATGCAAACTCATAAAATTGTTGTCATTTTAAATTGTATATTGCTATTAGATTCTTTCTAGTTATTTAATACATTTGCTAATGGGCCTGCACTTAAAGTCAATAAAAACGTGACTTATCATGTTTTAAACAAATTATTAAAACGGGTTCTTGCTAATTTTAATTTGTTTATCTTTTCTGAAATAATGTATTATGCATGAGATTAAAAAGACCCGCCTATTTATAGTTCAAATATCTTAATTCCACTTAAATACAAATCGCCATACAAGTTAATATGTGATATTTTTTGTCACAAAATAAATTTTATATCTACATTTTTATACTGAAATATATTTAAGAATGTGGTAGCTTTCTAAACAAGACATTTCTTAAATATTAATATATTTACGAGCGATCGTTAAACTATTTTTGTTTTAGTCTGTCGTCAAACATTTCCTGAAACGGCAACCTTTTCCTTTGTCCGCGACTCGAGACCAAAATAACTGTATCCCATTAAAAAGCCACGAAGCAAAGTTGTAAAATTACCAGATATGTAATCTTTTTATGTGAAAATCAAACAGTGCAAGTTATTTCCAAGATATTATCAAGTGAAGTACACATTTATCTATACTTATATTATGAAGAGGAAAGATTTGTATTTTTGTATTCTTATATGTATTGAAAAACTCAAAAACTGCTGGGCCGATTTAAAAATTCACCGAAAGAAAGGTAGTTAAACGATGAGTAACATTGGCTATATATTTATTAATTTCACGCAGACGAAGACGCGAGCAACAGCTAGTAAAGATATAAGAATGTGCATGAAAATTTTAAAACTACCTTATACCTAAGTACTTAGGCATTGTGACGTCATCAGTTGAACTGGTAACCTTTAAACTATCACGTCTCGATAATAAAAAGGCTGCATAAATTATGTAAATGTTGAACATTGAATGCAGCGGCTACATTCCAATGATTTGTTACTACGTTGATTGTTATCTATCGTTTTGACACGATCGTGTGGGAGCCGGGGGGGGGGGGCGGAGACGCTGGAACTGTCACTAACAGGCCACGAACTTCTAAGGCATCTATTTCGTCATTTGCACTTAAAAATTAACATTTAGACTAAATTCACATTGATTAAACCAGCCCGTTACTTTTTATGGGCAGTAAGAGCATCAAACATTTCTTTTATTACTCCGCAATTTAATTGCAAAGCCTATTCAAATTTTATAACCCTTCCGTTTACCAAATATGTAAATGTAAACAATAAAAAGGCGCCGCTTGTTACGCATCAAGTTGTAAGTTACCATAGTCCAGTGGCGGTGCCAGCTGGCGGCCAGTAAACCACACGTCGGATTTCCTGCGTCACGTAACCATCGGTTCCGCTTTCCGGCTGCGGATCGTGAAAGTGAACCGCTGAATTCGGCCAAATTCTATGACTTACTTTCGAGATCTCTGCTCAAGCATTGGATAACAGAGGACTATCACTAGCCCTTAGACATTGCTATACAAAACAAGAATTATCAATAACCACGAAAAACCAATACGTAAGTTATTACTGTCTTCGTATTGATTTAACACTTTATAAGCTGATTAAACGCAGCTAAAGCTAGTCATGATCATTTTCTAAGACAACTTTCGTCATTGACGCTGTGTGGAAGGGTCCCATTGACACTTCTACATGTTGTTACTCTATGGCGCAACATGTCAGTAACGACGGATTAATAATTAACCATGTATGGTTAACTTTATATATATTGATATTTTGTCTGTTTGAAACCGGCTTGCAAACTTATCTCACTTCAAGGCGTACGGGCAACGTATGTATGTTTGCTCGGGACAATCTCAGTGAAACTAGTTTTAACCCATCAATTGACATCGATTGAATCGTGACAAGAGTTCAGCGGGCGGTCGCCTCTCGCCTCGCTCACGCTCCACGGCCAGCGACAAACAATTCACTATAATTGACATTTTTATCGTACATCAAGAACTGACATCGGGGGCGTGTCGTCTGATCGATGTGAAGATGTTTTGATAATGCTTTGCTGAATCAAAATATACCTCCTAGCAATCTTAAAGAAAACAATACGCAAGTTAAATAAGAGACATTCTTGTGTCCAAGTATATATTTATCTCTTTGTGAAATTGAATTGACGCCTTCCCTTCAATTGGCTTCGAACTGAGGCCTAAATACGTTCAGTAGTGCATCCTGTCTCTCTCAAGATTGAGCGGAAGACATATAACTTGCCTCGCGACGGCTCATTATCTCGTAAACATGTCGCCAGGAACCGGACAATACTCCTAATTGACAGTGTTCCCATTGTGCCCCCTCGCACGCAAATTGTTGCTCTTATAACCTAAATACGAGTCTATACTACTCGCTTATATGATGGTTGACTAAATTAAGTCAAGATGGGGAAAATAGTTTTACTGTAAAGAAGTTACAACAAGAATAAGTTCAAGACAATCGATGTTTCGACAATCCTTAACATATCGCCACATTATCGATACGATCTCCATAAAACAGCAATCAACATAAATCGGCAATGCAATCAATCAAGGACAGATCAATTTTGTGCCATTTCGTGTCTTTAAAATTATTTTATTGGGACATAAAATGTTGAATGTAATTTTTTGCTTAAAACAGATAAGGTTAAATTATATATTTAAAGGAAGAGAATGTTTACCATTGTTGAAAGTACTGAGCTTGTTTCTACAGTTAGTAGTAATTATCATTTTATAACATTAAATATTATAATTATTACAAAAAATCTCACCAGTCAGAAGTTAAGGCACATTCTCCGATCAATTGCAAACTGTAACAAAACATTTATCTATTAGTTACATTAAAAAATACTTATGACACAAAATATCCGAGAATGTAAATTCCTCGTTTAACATTATTGTTGCGTTGTACCAGATTCCCGACAAGGGTAAACCACAGAGCACCGTTGCCCAGAACCGGCCGAGTGGCACTGTTCCCTCTGCATGTCTGCTGTCTGCTCTGTGGTCGTTAGTTGCCCGCATCCGTTACAACAGAACAATAAAGGCTGTGAATTAAAACATCAAAGACTGCATCGAGCTAATCTGTACATAGAACAGTTGAACAACCTGATATGTTTACTTGGATGAATTGCAAACCAGAAGCGTCTATACTAGTTTACAGTTTACTAACGATTCACTAGCTAAAACCTTCGTACCGTAACAGAATGTAGGTTGCACTTGTGTATCGTATAGGGTTAGATGAAACTGTATTGGAAATCCCATGGCCTATTTCACGCCCTGGGAGATAGTCTAACCGTGCCCTACCCTGATGACGGCCTCGCTTTTGATATTTTTCCGCTAAAGTCTATTGTATTCTATCAACCTACTGTTATTAGACTTGTAATGATAGCTTAGGTTAAATAAATTTTATAGTTTGTATTCTGTTGTGTGTAAACATAAAAATATTGTTAGTACAAATATAAATAAACGGTAATGAGTTGTTTGTCTGTTGCATAAAGGAACACAATTATCTCTAAGCGTTCAATACTTATTAACTATAGAATAATTTAATTTTTTCGTATCTTTTGAAGTTCACACTTTGTGAAATGTTTGTGTAAACTACGAATTAATAAAATACAGTAATAGTTATTCTATAATGATGCATAATGAAGTACAAACGTGATCAGGAAGTATTCACTGTGACAGACAGACAGTTTCACTTTCATGTCGTTAGCATAGCGATGTGAGGAGCTGTGGATGGGCTGAGGGCAAGGGCTATATGTTAATCATATTATCTCATCAACATTTCGACTATAAAAATTAATGGTTTATTTTGCAGATAACTTGTCACGTTTAATGAAGAAAATGGTTTCCGTATATATAAGTGTCAAATGTATTTAATGAATGCTTACTGAGTTGGAGGTTTAATCTTACTTCTTACTAATTTTACAAATGCGAAAGTTTAGATGGATAGATGTTTGTTAGAGTTTGTAGACTAAACGGCTCAACGGATCTCGATGAAATGTGACATAGACGTCAAGGATAGTCTGGAAGAACACATAGGCTACTCAATACTATCCAATAAATAAATTGATGTTGTATTAAGCGTCAAGTTTGATTAAATGTCTGTACTGTTAAGACTTTTTATTTCATCTTGAAGCGTGCGCGTGCGCATGACGAGTGTAGGTAACTGTACGCGCCGCTAGGTGGCGCAACACGCCGCGCTCCACTGATCCCCTATTATGTGTCTATAATAGGAGAAAATATATGATAATTGTGACGCCTGCAATACCCAGCAGGGGCCGGAAACTGACTCAATATGTCTTGAAATTATTGTTACACGAAATAGTGAAGGTTGATACAATAATTCGTAGCAACAAGTCGTAGAATATCTTCTTAATTTCTTAAAAATATAACCTAAAACTACTATTTGAATATTAATTTTGGCTTAAACAGTGTCATGATTATGTAATTATAATGTATTTAATATGATATGCACATTTTAATAATTAATATGCCATCATAAAAACATCCATAATTTGTTTACGATTGAATATGAATTTGATTATATCACCACTTGACATTACGGTCTGCGCCACCTTGCTTTAAACTATTCATTTAACTTTATTTATAATTAATTCATTCCGTATAATAACGAATTGATTGATTGTTAATTTTTGATAAAACTCCAATTAACAATTGTAACGTAAATAATTCTAAGTATGAGGGAATTTTACGATTAAATTATAGGTAAATGCGGTTACCATTAAGTTTTCTAATTTTCAAATAGAGGTCTTATCAAAAATCGATTTCCGCTGACGATTTCTGAATTACGAGAATCACAAGAACAATTGTGAGTGAAATCGTATTGAGAATCGACGTGAAATATTAATAACAAAGTTGAAGCGTGAAATTGAAACGAAATTCCTTCTCGGATGTGACGTTTGTTGGACCGTTTCACAAAAAAACGAAAGTATTTCTGATGACGTAGTATTGTTTTTAAAAGAAGCAGGTTTTATGAATAACTATAGGTAAGAGAATCCAGACAATCAGGAGCACGATCGACTTTGTATAGAATGTTTTGCAGATAGTTTTTATATATTTTTTTTATCTAGAAGAATCCCTTTTGATGGACTTAGTAATAACATTACGGGATAAGATTTCAGTACGTAGTAAATCAAACATTCTAGTAAAATGAAAATAAATTTCTGATTATACGAAATGTCAGCCTGTGGAACCGGAAATAAGAAAACAATTGACAATCCTGATAAGGATTAGGAAAACATTGTTAGATCCAATAAAATCCTGAACAGCAAATGTAAGAAATTCTAGAAGTTAAACTCCAGTAAGGTCAACAAGCTTACATAATTTGAGCAATAAATATAAACTTTCCTCAGTACCGAACCAGTCACAACAAATGTAATCGACCCGTTACAAAATTTAATGTTGAGACATACATACATACTCGTACATATGTGTATGTGACTTTAATTAAATGTAAGGAACGCATGCGATTTGCCCGACCGACGTGTTAATTGATCGATTACAGCAAACGTGAGCAGCGACACTTACTAAACAAAAAGATACGTTAGTGCTGCGCGCATTCTGAAGTATCGATAACTTACAACTATCGAATTGAAAAAAAAACTTTTTTAATCTATTTGCGATAAAACACCAAATTAAAACTCATGGAAACAAAAAAAAACTGTACAAATTCCGAGATATTCGCATTATCATATGAAAACGGTAAAATGTAATTTTATGGTTCATATTTCTTTTAATAATTTACCAATTAGCTACCGAAAATCTTAATTACAAGACTAATCGATAAACATTGATTATGCCTGCTAAAGGCAGCACAGCGACAGATTAGAACAAGGTTACTCGGTCGTGAGCGGAATCGATTCGGCACGCGGCTCACGATTCTATATCGATAAATCGATGGACAGCTGCGATTGCGACACTAGCGCCAGCGAGCGTGTGGGCGTGAGGGACGTGGACTTTGTTATGAGATTCATACAATAGACGATAACTATCATAATAATGTTACAATTGTGATCAACGACTTAACTGACCGACATACGGATTATTAATAATATTTAAATTTAATTATTAATCATTATATTGCACCTGGAAGAGGGTATGCTCTCATTCAGAAATGTTTTGATTTGTGCCGATTAAACTAAACTTTAAAAATTATTTCTTCACAATTAAAAAAGTAATGAAATAATTCGCGCATCGTCGCGTCGCAGGACATTATGTCACGTTGAGTTGGTTAATTATATCATTCCAGCTCCCGTAGTAGAGAAGGTAAGGAGCAAAAGGTTAGCATGGTATGGGCATGTTATGAGGATGGATGAATCGCATGTTATAAGGAGAACGTTAGTTATGAGTGTGGAAGGGTACATCGGTAGAGGTAGACCTAGAAAGAGATGGATTGTGTAAAAGGAGACATGATCAAAAAGGGAGTGATGACTGAGATGACGTATGATACAGTTGTGTGGAGGACAAAAACCTGTTGCGCCACTACGGGAGTAGGATAAGGGGATGATGATGATGATTTCAACATAGTCACATTTTAAATATAATTTTATTCTCTCTTACATTTAAAAAATAGAACTGTAAAGATGATTAACTTTGAATTACTAGTAATCGATTTATATCTATAAATCTAAACTGTTAAGCAGCTTTCTTTGATAAAAGAAACTGTTTATAGAAAGTGAAATTATTACAAATACATACATATAAACATTAATATTTAAATAGAAGTTGAAATCGCTTTAAAAATATGGAGCAGTGATGTTGCAGAGCTGGAATTAATAACCATGCTTTATGTTTTACTTTCTTCTGCATTAAGAACAATGTTTTATTCATACGTTGTACATAAACATGGACAACGTATGTAAATAAGAATATTTACATACGTTAACTAGAAAATTTAGCAGCGATTCAAGGCATGTCACAATGTGTTGATAATTATATCACTTCATAAACATTGATGAAAACTAAAATAATGTTATTCTAACGCCTACATCTTTCATATTTTTTGTAATTTAGTGGACAAACAAGGCGTAAAGCATGAATCTGGTAATAGTTCTACGTCCAGAATTAAACACAGGCCCACATAACAAAGATTTGTTAATCTTGTAAATACTGTTGTATTAGTGTTGTGCCCTGGCCCTGTGTGACTTACTGTTAAAACATCGATAATATTTGTGTAATCGAATGCTGCAACTCTCAGCATTGTGATGTATGAAGTCATTATTACTTCAAACAATAGCCGATAGTTTGGCGGCGACAGCCCCGCAGTGACTAACGCTGACAAAGACGGCCTCACACCACCATCTCGTAAATTATAATTTAACTAACTTTCGTCCGCGACTCCGTCCGTGTGGAATTTGAAAATAACAAAAGTGAATAGCCCATGTGTTCTTCCATCTTCTACATCTATGACAAATTTCATTGAAATCCGTTCTACAAACTGTAACATCCATCCATCTAAACATTAGCATTTATAATATTATTATGAGTATGATTTCAAAGATATTTGGCTACCGCGTTCGAATTATATGACCGGTAATAACATTTTTTTAGACAGAGCCGAGACATTAAGTGGTCCTTTTTGTGGCTTTAATATGAGACCAACATTAATCGGCTTAAGATTGAAAAATTAGATTTACATGTTTAATGTATATCACTAACTTGATAGAATTTTTCCACTTACATTTGTGTAAAATATCTATCACTAAGAATTACATCACACACTATTTTGAAGGTCATAAGTGACGTCACTGAGATAGAACTGTGGAAAATGCGTTAACAGTAGTGATAA